AGGTATCAATAACAAAATGATCTATAGACTCAATGCAAAATCTCAACAATGTTTCTTTTTTGGTATGAAAATAAAAATTTATCCTAAAATTCATGTGGAATGTTAAGGGACTTCAGATGGCCAGAACTATCTTAAAAAATAAAATAAGCAAATGTAGAAGTCTTACACTTGCTGATTATGAAACTTATTACAAAGGTACAATAATCAAAACAGTGTACTGCTGCTATAAATAGGGACATACAGGAGCAAAAGAGAGAACAGAAGTAGACTCTCACAAACACAGTCAATGATTTTTTTTTTACATGGGTGCAAACACCATTTAATTAGGAAAGCACAGTTTTTTTTTCAAAACCGATATTGAGCAATCAGGATATCCACATGCTTACATAAACCAGGCACTGAAGGAGAGACATTGTATGTCTCCACCTAATATATACCGACTGTCCACACTCTATGGCCAAAACTGAATGACTAGAGGATATAGAAACATAGAAAATGGTTATAAATACCAGATACAGTGTGGGAAGAGGGCGGTTAAGGAGGAGAGTCTGAGGAAGGACATTAAAGAGAAAAATAAAGAGTCAATGCATTTATGGGGCAAAGAAATAGGTTCTTATCTGTTGAAGATAAAGTGTATAGTATTCTCAACTGGATTGGTGAAAAATGTGTACATGTTAGAATATTCACTTTATAATCTAAGTGACATATGTGATTGAATGTATAAAAGAAATTGAAATAAAAAGTATGTTTAAAAAAAGAATGAAATTGAACCCTTATTTATACCATATATAAAAACTAATTCAAGAGGCCAGCAGGTGGCGTGGTGGCTAGGGCCACTGGACTCCCACATGGTCAACCACTGTTTGAGTTCTGGACCTGGCAGCTTGATTTCTCACTTTCTCTCTCTCACTCTGTCCCTATCTAGTCAAATTAAAAACAAACAAACAAACAAAAACAAAACAGTAAATAAATAAAATAATTCTTTAAAAAGTAATTAAAAACTTATCAAAGTTTTTGTTTGTTTTTGTTTTTTATTTTTTATTTTATTTTATTTTTTTAAGTTTCTGACATATGACACTTGTGCTCACTGGAGCAATAGAGAGACAGAAAGCAAGAAGAAATCATTCCCTAGCAGGGATGACCACTCCACAATCCCTTCTCTTCTATTCTCCAATTGGGATTTGGGGCATGCACGCACAAGCACCAAATGTGTTTCAAGCCACTGGATCCGGGAATCAAACCATGTTTGGCCACATACATGGGAGTTCAGTGCCTTAACCACTATGCCACTTCTGGCCCACTTATCAAAGATCTTGACATATAAATTAAAGCTACAAAGTCTCAGAAAAAAATGGGAAAAAAGTTATGACTTTCGGTTTGGTAACAATTTCTTGGATATGACACTGATAGCACAGGAAACAAAAGAAAAACAGGAAAAGGGAACTTGCACAATGATAGTAAAGTGGAACCTACAGGATGATAGAAAATATTAACAAATTGGGACTCACAGACTGCATAATGGTTATGTCACTGGGCTCCCAAATAGTTGACCGTGGTTTGAGTCCTGGACCTGACAACTTAGAACTCATGCAGGGCTCAGCGCATGTGCGTGCATGCCCAAGATCCTGAGAGGAGAATGGAGGAGAAGGGACTGCAGCATAGCCATACCCCCTGGGGGGTGATTTCTCACTTTCTGTCTCTCTGTCTCTCTCTTTCTGCTGAGTGCATGCACCCTATTGTATAAACTTCTCAAGAAAAAAAAAAAGAAAAAAAATGGCACATTAGAAGTTGCTCATCATCTATAATCATTAAATATATGCAAATCAAAGCTGTCAAAATTGGGATCAGCAGATGATTACATAGCTGGACTCCCACATGGCCTACTGTGGTTCAGAGCCTGTACCTACCCACTTCAAACTCCTGAGAGAAGATTGGAAGAGAAGGGATTGTGGTGTGGCCATCCCCCCTGGGGGATCATTTCTTGTTTTCTGTATCTCTGTCTCCCTCTGTCTCTCCAGTGAGTGCAAGCATCCTATAACAAAAATCTCTCTTAAAAAAAAATCAAAATTGCCATGAGTTACAACCTCACACCTACTATATGTCTTTTGGTTTTTGTTACTATAAAAGAAAATGAGAGAAAAAAATAACAAGTGTTGGTGAATATGTGGAGAAAGTACAATAGAATCCTGTGAACCCTGTGAACTCTGTGCAAGAATGCAGAATGGGGCAGCTATTACAGAAATCAACATGATGCCTCCTCAAAAAATTCAAAATAAAATTACCTTGCAATCTAATAATATCACTTTTATGTCAAAAGAATTGACAGCAGGATCTCAAAGAAATATTTATACACTCATGATCATTGCAGCATTATTCTCAATAGCAAAACAGTGACAGCAATACACGTGTCCATTAAAGGATGACTGGATAAGCAAAATACAGAATACACATATGAGGAAATTCTATTCCATCATAGGAAGGTAGGAAATTCTGACACGTGCCACAACATGGATGAACTTGAAGGACAAATGAAATAAGCATCACAGAAAGACGAATACTGTATGATTACACCTTGATCACGTGCCTAGAGTATTCAAATTCACAGAGGAAGTAAGCAGCATGGTATTTTTCAGGGGCTGAGATGAAGGATAATAGGGACATTGTTGTTTAATGTGTGTAGAGATCCAGTTTTGCAACATGACAAGCATTCTGGAGATCAGTTGCAAAATCAGTACTGAGCTATATACCTTTAGAAACAATCACCATGATAGAATTGGTACATTTTACTACAACTCAATCAAAACAATTCTTTTATTCAAAGCTACAGAAATTTCGTGACATGAAGACCCATACACACAATTCTCTAGGAAGAACTATTCGTTATGAAAAGATATCTAAGAAATGGTGGCAGTCAAAAGAGAAGAGTGAACAAAGACTATAATTATAGTTATCACTATCTTAAAAAATAAAGCCAAAATCAAAGAGGAGAAAACAGGCAGCAAATATATCAATACAGTAGGGCTGCAGGATGGGAAACTAGAGGATATGAGAGCTGGCTAAAGCACTTGCCTTTTCTAAAAAATATTTTATTTATTATTATTTTTTAATTTGACCAAAGAGAGAGATAGAGCAAGTGAGATAGCAAGATGCCAGGTCCAAGACTCAAACCACAGTCGACCATGTGGGAGTTCAGTGCCTCAACCACCACACCATCTGCTGGGCCCTAAAGCACTTGTCTTTAAGAAGATAGATTTAAAAGAAAAAAGAAAAATATTCCATGAAAAAGGAGAAAGAATAAAATAAGAGTTATGAATTGAAACAAAGTATAGAATCAACTTAAAACATATACATTTTTTAAACGTACGTAAATGATCTATACTGATTAACCAAGAGGCAAAGTTTTTAAATTTGGATTAAAAATAAATCCAGGTACATGTTGGCAAATACACATAGATTTGAAACTCACTTAAGGTTGAAAAACTTAAAGAAGTTTTTTATAGTTTAAAATATATTTTAGTAAATAAATATTTGTATAGATAGGTATACTATATAATGGTAAAATATTCAATTTCTAAGATGATACAAAAATTGGAATTCTAGGGACCAGCAGTTAGCATAATGGCTATGTCTCTGGAATCCCATGTAGTCTACTGCGGTTCAAGTCCTGGACCTGGCAGCTTAAACTCACGCTGGGCACGTGTGCGTGAGTGCCCAAGATCCTGAGAGGAGAATGGAGGAGAAGGGATTGCAGCGTGGCCATCACCTCTGGGGGGTGATTTCTTGCTTTCTGTCTCTCTGTCTCTCTCTGTCTTTCTGGCAAGCATACGCACCCTATAGCAAAAACCTCTCCAAAAAGAATAAAATTGGAATTCTATATTCATATAATATGTATGAAAATATTACTTTACATTACTATGTTAACATGTAATGAATGTTTCCCCTTATTAATAAATATATGTATATATACCTATGTATGTATATATGTACACCACATATAAAAATATATAGTAGAAATCATTAGAATTGCAATGAGAAATTGACAAAAATTAGCAGTAGAGTTAGAGATTTCACTCTCTCTCAATAAGTATAAAATCAATGTAAAAGAATTAGCTAAGGATTAGAGTTAGAATATTTGTATGAATATGTAAACATTTCTTTGAGATCCCACTTTTGATTCCTTTGGATTCATAAGCACAACAAACTTAACTAAGAAATTTAATCTAATTAAAATAAGATTCTGAATCCAACATCTATAAACTCTTCTCAAGCACCCACAAAATCATTAGAAAATATTAATCATGTACTAGACCATAAAAATGTCAACGTTTATCCCAAAAGGTGAGTAATACATGCAATTAACCGTCCACATCTCTTTAATATACCTTGCACCAAAGAACACTTCTCACTACTTAGTATAGACTATATATTTAAAAAAATGAAATAATGCCTCTGACACTTGTTGCTTAAAACAAAGCGATTAGTGAAAAAGTGAAAGACTTTTTTTCTTTTTAGTAACTATGTTGTGGAATAGAGAACTTATTTACTATGTGCATATTGAAATTGAGAGAAAACTAAATAATATACTTTTATAGTCTTATTTTTTTATTAAATATGATTTGATTTTGTGATTATTTTCTCATGCTACTACCTTGTCTTTTACAGGCCCCAATCCTGCTCACCAAGTTTTCTACTCTTCCTCTGGTCAAGATAACAGAAGCCCTTCCTTAACTATCACTTTTTGCCAAAAGACAACATGAGAATTAAGGCTTTTAGGATTTTATGGTCAAAATACCTTTTCTTTGGTTCAGGCTTCTGTTGTGGTAGAATAAAAGATGCCTATTTTTAAAATGTAGATGGATAAAAGGTTCGGTTTTCACTTTCCTGAAGATGGTTGATATAGCCCTTCTTCACCCACACAATCCTGTAATTAATTTTCCACTGTGATTGTGTGGTTACCAAGTAGGTGCCCAGATCTTTAAAGAAATTCCCACCAAGCTCACCTCACAGGATCTGTCTTCAACAGAAGTCTTCAAAAATGCAGGGATCACTGTCTTGTTTGAGCAAAAAGATATGCTTGTAAAGCTCTGCAACGACTCAACTGAGGATGCTATAATCTCATGAAAAGCTGAGACAATGAAAAAGTTTGAAAGATAAGGAAAAATGGCGCTGGTTAGAGTTGCTCAAAAACTTGATTGCTGACTACCATCTCACACTGCGTAACTTCAAAAGAGTTATAAATACATAAATTATGTGTTTATGATAAAATGTTGAGGCTCCGCCTACTACCTTTGTAGGTTTCTTTTCAGCTGTCAGAGAAACTGAACTGTTTCCTGCTTGTAAAGAGTTGTAATCTCAGCCACAAGAAGAGATAACAAAGTTCTCCTTCGCTTTTTTGACATAACAGACATCAGTGACTCAATAGAGAGTCTATGCTGAAACTTTCTAATCCAGCTACCCTACGTGTAAGTCATTGCAGATAAACAGAGTTTGGCACAAGCTGCTCTCATGACCGATCATGCATGCTTTCTGCATTATTCATGGATAAACAAAAACAGGTTGTAGGTTCATATTATCATTGCAACCTTGAAAAAGTCATTGGAAACTTGTAGCTGCTTGAATGAGGCTCAACATATTAAATAGGAAAGGTGAGACAGCAAGCCTTGTCCTTTCTTTCCTGTTCAGAGTGGCAAAGGCAGGAGGTGATCTTGGTGGAGGTGTCTATTGCTTCCAGTTCTTAACTTCGTCTCTTGGATAGGGGCAGGTCTACTATAACAATTTTTTGTTAAAATAATACCTGAAGCTTCTACTCAGTTATTAATAATTGATACACCTGGAACTTAACAGAGGCAGATCATAATTACAAATATGTAAATGCTTACCAGATAAACAGAGTTTGACACAAGCTGCTCTCATGACCGATCACGTATGCTTTCTGCATTATTCATGGATAAACAAAAACAGGTTGTAGGTTCATATTATCATTGCAACCTTGAAAATTTTGGAAGAAAACTGAGCTTCTGGAAGTGAAGCAGACCTGATAAACCTTTTTCAGTGATGTGTTACTGTCCACGGAGAAGAGTGGATACACTGTGCAGTACCATAACATCGAGATGCCAACAAAATGACACCAGCTACAAACATTTACTGAGAGGAAGAACTTGCCCAACACGGAATGTCTGTCTAAACTTTTGTGGTCTCTTATCATCTCAAGTTCTAAACCCCAAAGCATTTGATATCTTCAGGGAAGTTGCCCTACCAGGTTGATGTCCTCACCAGATTAGAAGAGCAAAAGTCTGCTAGGGAGAGGAGTGAGAACAAGTGGAAGAGCAATTATATAAGAAATAGCACCCATGTCCTCTAAGTGCACATTGGGCCCAGGAATCAAGGCGTAGGTATAGTCTTTGTATCTCAGAAAAGCAAGTGAAAGAAGAGAAAGGTGTCTTTTAATGTTCAAATGAAAACTCCTTTCACCATTTTCCTATCAATGAGAACCAGAAAGCCATCTTTCCATGTGAGAGTCTGTGCTGGCTAAGTCTGTTGCAGCATTCACTAGTCATCAGCCACCTGAACAATATCCCTCCTTGGTTTTCTTTCACAATAAAATATTGTTTTGCTTATCTATAGCAGTTACCTTGAGATATAATGAGGACCATGATTTATTCACAGTTAAATGGACTTAAACATACATACACACACACACACACACATATATACATGCAAACATACATATAAAGTATATGTATATATGTATAAACATATGTGTGTGTATATACATATATATATTGATAATGATAATGTATGGTACCTTTTGTGTATTTATTTATTACCTCCATGAGCAAGAGAGAGATAAAGAGACAGAGAGATATCACCCTAATAGGGTCCTAATGCCACTATGCATTCCCAGCTGCAGCCACTCCAGATCCTGCACACACATGCCTAGTACACTCAAGGAGTTCTACAGATGAGACCTTGGAAGCCCACCTGTGGGTCAGCCTTACAGACTGTCATATTTTACCCCTGTGCTCAATTATGCTTTTCCTTTAGGTAGATTTAGGTATGCCTAAAGACTTAAGGTATTTTCTAATTGGGTAACCCACTTTTTAACAGATTTTAAAGAGTTTATTTCTTAAGATTAAATCCTAGTATTAGTTTCCTATTTCTATCATAACTAAACACAAACTTGATGGCTTAGACGAGAGAAATGTGTTCTCTCACAGATCCGGAGACCAGAGGTCCAAAAATCAGTGTTATTGGATATTAACCACATTTCTAACTTCTGTGAACAGGAGACCTGACCATCTGCCTAACTTGCATATGTCAGACAACGCCTTGTTCCAGGACACCTAAATTATGACTGAGTCAGCCTAATTTAGCTTCCTGCCTCCCTCATTGACTGCCACATTCTCCTCTGGTTTCAAATACAAACCGACCAATCCAGACTCTGTACTTCTAACCACTTCCTTTACCGAGCTCTTCGGCTCTGAGCCACTGTGCTCCTGCCCCGGACAGCCTATACCAGGCACTAGACAACAAGGGACAACCCCGTGCCACAGAGCCCATTGAAATGATTCAAACTAGCCAATCCCAAGCCTGCTTACTTTACCTTACCAGTTAAGCAGTGATTTCCTCTAGAGCCGCAATAAAAGTGCTTGCCCACAGTCTTCTCCATTTCCTTTTTCCTTGTCTCTGACTTCTGCTCTTTTCCTTGTGCCTCTGTGTGGTGTGGCATGATCTCTCCTCTTAGGAACTGTAAGTAACTGTCTTTGCAAGAACATTTGTCTTCTGATCGGTTGGTCTTGTTATGGCTCAAGTGTTCTATTAACACATATGTGTTTAATTACACTATGCTTTGTGTTATTACCCACAATGGGAGCTGTATGGGAAAATTTATTTCTTGCCTCATTTATACTTAGGTGGCTGTTGGCTTTCCCTGATTTTGGACACATTACTCTAGCCTTCAAGGCCAGCACCTCAGATTTCTCTCACTGTGGCTTCATATCACCCTTTCCTCTGGTCATGTGTCCAGTCTCCTCATGCCTCTCATAAGAAGACTTGAGATGGCATGTAGGTTCTTCTCAAATACTCCAGGATAATCTCCCTATCTAGAGAGTCTTAACCTAATTACATATTTAAAGTTTTTGTTATTATTTTTTTTTCCCAGATAGCATTCACAGGTTCCAGGGAATTGGTATATAAACTTATCTTTGGGAGTCATTATTAACCTACCACAGACTCCATCCCTAAGATCCTGGGAGAAAATCTGTGACCTGAACCATGTGCACTATTTAATCTCCTATTAACTCTTCTCTGCACACATTTCACCTTTTATTTCCCCTATAAGACACCTCACCACTCTCAGTTCAAACTCTAGTCACAGAAACAAGAAGAAAAGGCATGTGACCATGGAGACAGATTCACGTGATATGATCAGAAACCAAAGAACGCCAGCACTCACAAGAGGCTGGGAGAAGCATAGAGTAAATGTATTCCTCCTAGAGCTTCCGAGGGAGCAAGCTCATTAAGACGGTTTGGTATTGATGAATAAGTAGACAAATAGATGAGTGAAACAGAAGAAAGTGCCCACAAGTATATCAACACAAATATATTCAACAGATCTCTGACTATGGAAAAAGACAATATGATGGAGAAAAAATAGTATTTTCAAAAAATGGTTTGAAACAACTTGGCAGAAAATGAATCTAGAAATATACCTTACAATTTTCATAAAATTAACTAAAATTATATTATAAACTTATAGATCCATGAACTATAAGTTCTGTAGACCTTATACCATGAAACAAAAATGCTAAGAGGCAGCCAGTGATGTGGTGTTGAAGCAGCTGCATCTTTCATGACTAATTGCGCAGTTCAAGTCCTGACCTAGAAGCTTGAGAAATGTGCTAGGGACCTGAAAAGAGTTTCAGGTACCCAAAATTCTCAAGGGAGAAATGGAGAAGGGACTGTGATATGATCGTCCTTTATGGGAGGAACTCTCTTCTCTCTCTCTCTCTGTCTCACTCTAGTGAATGCACATACTCTCTAGCAAAACAAACACACATACACACAAGCAAAACAAACAAAACACAATAAACAAAAATAACCACTAGAAAACTCTTCCTAGAAGATACCATAGGAGAAAATCTAAATGACTTTGAATAGAGTGATTTATTTTAAACTATAACACAAACAGAACAAACCATGGAAGACATAAGAGATAAGTTGGACTTCATTAAAATTAAAAACTTCTGGGGACTAGCATATGGTATAATGGTTACATCACTGGACATCCACATGACTGACAGCAGTTTGAGTACTGGATCCGGAGGCTTGAAACTCACGCCAGGTGCATGCATGTGCATGCCCCAAATCCCAAGAAGAGAATGAAGAAGAGGGAATTATGGCATGACCATTACTCCTGGGGTGTGATATCTTACTTTCTGTCTCTCTGTCTCTCCAATGAGTGCATATATCCAATAGGAAAAATCTCTCTTAAAAAATTTAAAACTTCTACTCTACAAAAACAATGTCAGTAAAATAGGAAGACAAGCCAAAGATTGACAGAAAATATTTGTCAATAAATAAATAAACTGATAAAGAACTATTATCCAAAATATGGTCCAGATTAGTGGCGTAGTTGGAAGCAAACTGAATTGCAGAGCTGAAATCCATAAAGCTATATCTGTAGTTCTGGATCCCTGAGTTGGCATGAAATCACACCAGGCATATATATGTATGCCCAGGACGCTGATGAGCTGGAGGGCCAAGGAAAGAGGATGATAGTGTGATGAGACTCTGTCACAGGTGCTTATCTCTCCCTATCTGTGTCATGTATGGGCACGTGTTCTTCGTCATATTTTTATTTTTTTTTCCATAGGGCATGTATGCTTCCAAGAGAGAGGCAGAGAGGGAAAGTAAGAAATTGTCCCCAAGAGGGATAGCCACACTGCAATCCCTTCTCTCTTATTCCCCTCTTAAGATTTTGGGTCTGCATACACATGTGCCTGGTGTGAATTTCAAGTCACTGGGTCCAGGAATTGACCATGGTTGGCATGTGGGAGTCTAGCACCTTGACCACCATGCCACTTAATGGCTCCGATCATAAATTTTTAATTTAGTATGTTATCTAAAATATGCAGAGATGTACTAAAACTCAACAAGAAGGAGGTCAGCAGATATGTAGTGGTTAAGGCACAGGACTGTGGTTCAAATCCCAGGCCAGGAGGTTTGAAACTCACAC